GGAGAACGAGGACGGGGAGAAGGAGTAAGCAGGAGGAGGACGTGGCGATCAGCCATCCGTTGCCAGCTCTGCTACAGTGGATTATTTCGCTGGCTGTAGCCTTCCTGTGGCAGAGTTTTGCGTCTCGCTGCCACCCAGACCTTGTCCGGAGCCATGGCGATGGTATTTCCCGCGAACCAAGCTATCGTCGTCGGCGGCGGCTTGGCAGGCGTGTCCGCAGCCAACACGGTTCTCGAGTGCGGGGGCAAGGTCGTCTTGGTAGACAAGTCCTCTTTTTGCGGCGGCAACTCGACAAAGGCGACCAGCGGCATCAATGGTGCGGAGACGAAGACGCAGAAGGCCAAGGGCATCCAGGATTCTCGCGATCTCTTCACCAACGACACCTTGAAGGGTGGGGCCAAGCGTCCGGAGCTCGCTAAGATCCTTTGCTGGAACAGTGGCGCAGACGTGGACTGGCTTGTTGACAAGTTTGACCTGGATCTGTCTCTTGTGGCGCGCCTCGGTGGCCACTCGGCGCCGCGCACTCACCGTGGCGCGGAGCGCTTCCCGGGCATGACCATTACCTACGCCCTTATCCAGATGCTTGAGAAGGCTCTGGAGGGAAAGCTAGACACAGACACAACAAAACTACGATTTCCGATCACATATGGGAAACTCGCTGGGAAATTGAGGGGACGACGAAACGTCAGAAGATACGACAAACTATGGGGAATTCTTTACGCTTCGCGTATCCCACCAGCCCATTCAGAAGCCCTGCCCATGAGAGCTGACGATAAATGGGAAGAAGAGACACACCTAGGGAAACAAAGCGAGCAACCATGGTGAACCGAGAGATCTCTGGGAGCAAGGGGGTGGCCTTGGAAGCCCTCTTCGGGCCATCCCTGGGTGCCGCGTGGGGGCGAGGGGAAGAGGAGGAGGAGGAGGAGGAGGAGGAGGAGGAGGAGGAGGAGGAGGAGGAGGAGGAGGAGGAGGAGGAGGAGGAGGAGGACGAGGAGTACGAGGAGTACGAGGAGGACGAGGACGCGGATTAGGACGAGGATGAGGAGGACCAGGACTAGTAGGACGACGCGTACGAGGACTCATGGAACCATCTAGAGGTATTTTTGCGGCTGCTGCTGCTTCTGCTGGTGCTCTCTGGGATTTTTTGGGGCCCTCTTCTCTTGGAACCCTCTTGGCAACCCTGGAAGGCTTCTTGGGATCATCTTGGAGGCCATTGATTACAGGATGGGGGAGTCCCCAACTCAGCTCCCCCCCTCAGGAGCTGGCAAGCCGCTGCTTTGGGCTCTCTTGGAGCGCTCTTGGGCGCTCTTGGAGCGGTCTTGGGGCTGTTTGGAGCATCTTGGGAGCCATCTTGAGCCAGCTTGGGCTATCTGAGCCATCTTGGAGGTCATCTTGGGCTCTCTGAGGCCGCTCGGGGGCCTCTTGGGGGCCTTTCGGTTGCCTCTTGAGGCCCTCTCCGGACCCTCCTGGAGCCCTGTTGGGGCTCTCTTGGGGCTCTCTTGGGAGCCCTGGAGCGCCTCTTGGGACCATCTTCGAGGCTATCGATCAAAGGAGGGAGGGTCCCGATCGATGTCCCCCCCCTCGGGGGCCACGATCCTCGTGAGGGGTGTCAAAAATTGGCCCTCCCAGGGGCCGAAAAAAGGCCCTCCAACGACCCGCGAACCCCCCCAAAAAAATCCAGGGGAGGGGGTAGGGGGAGGGGTCAAGACTCCCTCCTCGCCCGCAAGCCGTCTCGCTCACTCCCACCCGCCCTCCCAACACATACGTAGCACCGGAGTCTGGCCCGAGCCTCAGCATATTCAGCAGTCGTCTTTGGATGGGCAGCTACTGGGGGCCAATCCGCCGCCGCCACCTCCGCCTCCGCCGCCGCCGCCGCCGCCGCAGCCGCCGCCGCCACCGCCGCCGCCGCTGCCCGCCGCCGCCGCCCCCGCGCCGCCGCCGCCGCCGCCGCAGCCGCCGCCGCCGCCGCCACCGCCAAGTGTACTCTGTATTGTTTGTAAACCCCTCCCCGATGGGGAAGAGGGTTTTTTGGAAGAGGAAAGAAAGAGATCGTTAGACCACCTACGCCCAGAGGGCTGGTGGGAATCGGGAAGATGTATCTTTTTGCTCGTGTCTCCCTGGGCCCTGAAAGGTTGCAGAGAAGACGGACCGTGCCCGCATCATCACCAAAGCCTGCGCCCACAAGCTGCTGACCAACACGTCGGGGGGCAAGCTCTCCGTAGTGGGCCTGGTCTACTCCAAGAACGGTGAGGATCTCGAAGAAAGAAAACATGAGTTTAATACATAAGCTTTAGGAGGTCCGCCAAGATGTCTTGGAATTGTGCTGGCCCCCCCTGGCGCGCGGAGCACGCCAGGGGCGGCTCCCGAGGCGCCGCCAGGGGTCCAGCGCCGATCCAAGAAATCCGCGCGGAGCTCCGAACGTTTGGTACGATGCCGTTACTTCTTTGTCCAGGATTTCAAGGAGTTCGGCCCCGTGATCTTGGCCAGCGGTGGCTTCGGCGCCGACTTCACCACGAACTCGCTGCTGGCGCAGTACCGCCCCGACCTGCTCCATCTGCCTACCACCAACGGCGAGCACTGCACTGGCGACGGAATCAAGATGGGCGAGGCAATCGGCGCGCGGACCATCGACCTGGAGTGGGTCCAGGTGCACCCGACGGGGCTGGTGAAGCCAGACGACCCCGATGCGAAGATCAAGTTCCTGGCTGCAGAGGCCCTGCGCGGCGTGGGCGGGCTGGTGTTCGACGCCAACGGCAAGCGCTTCGCGAACGAGCTGGGCCGCCGGGACTACGTGACCGGCGAGATGTGGAAGAACAAGCCGCCCTTCCGCCTCTGCCTGAACAAGGCGGCCTCCGACGAGATCAGCTGGCACTCGGGGGCGAAACGCATATCCGTACCCGCGGCCTCGCGGGCTGGGGATACGGGGCGCTTTTTCGCGGATGCCCGCGCAGAACTTATGCGTGCGACCGCGTGTCCGCGGGATCGCGCCCCAGAATCCAGACCGCGAGGGCGCGGATGCGGACGTGTTCGCCGCTCGTGAGGCACTGCAAGCATTACACTGGCCGCGGCGTGATGAAGTTCTACGAGAATGGCGAGGCCCTCGCCAAGGACATGGGGATCCCGGTGTCTGTGCTCGAGGAGACCACTGAGCTGCACTACCAGGCGGCGAAAAAGACGGAGAAGGACCCGGATGGCGGCTCCTGGCCTGCCTACCCGTCCGGCAAGTCTTGGGACGAGCCCAGCGGCAAGACGGGCTCCGGCAAGAAGTTCTACCACAACATCATCCCGGGCTCCGCCGTGAAGACCCAGCCGTTCTACGTCGCCATCATCACCCCCGTCATCCACTACTGCATGGGCGGCCTGGAGGTGGACGTCGACTCCGCGGTGCTGGACACGAAGAGCGGCAAGGCGATCCCGGGCCTGTACGCCGCGGGCGAGGTGGCTGGCGGCATCCATGGCAACAACCGCCTGGGCGGGAACTCCCTGTTGGACTGCGTCGTCTTCGGCCGCGTCGCTGCCAAGGCCGCGTGCAAGTACACGTTCGGTGCGGACGGCAAGTACCAGCTGTGCCCCGTCCCGAAGCAGATCAAGGATCTCGCGTAGAGTGCTCGTGGCCGCGCGCGCCGCCCCAGTCATCGCCTCCTCGTTCCCTGATGTGTTCCCTCTGCCATTGTGGGAGAAAGAAGGAGCCGGCATAAACATACACTTTCGGAGCTGCGCTCGGATCTCTTAGGTCTGCGCTGGGCCCCCTTGGCGACGCCTCTGGCGCCGCCACTGGCGCGCTCCGCGCGCCAGGCAGGGGCGTCCAGCGCCGACCCGAGAAACCCGCGGGAGCTCCGGAAGTTCATGGTTATGCGGTTGCTTCTCCCTCTGATCATATCCTCTTGTCCCTTCTTTTCTCTTCCCTCCTCCTCGTCACCTTCCTCCACTGTGGCAGCCCTCTATGCACTAGTCGTGTCGGAGGGCATCGCTTCCGCGGTGAGTGAAGGCTCACTTCCACGGTCGGACGTCCGAAGAGGGAAAAATATGCGCTCCCGCCGGCTCCCTCGCGTCCCAGGAAGAGGCCGTCCAGTTCATTCAACTAGCTTGCAACATTCCCCCAGCACCCGAGAGGTGGATGGGCGAGTTCGGAGAAAAAACACGTGCATAAACACGAACCGTCGGAGCTCCGCGTGGACTTCTTGGAATTCCGCTGGGCCCCCCTCCCCGGAGGCGCTGCCAGGTGGACCTGGCGCCGATCCAAGAAATCCGCGCAGAGCTCGGAAAGTCCATGCTATGCCGTTTTAGCTGTCTCTGCGAATGCAGCTCTCTCCGCCTTTGCTGCCCCAGCGGCCCGTCCAGAGACGATGTCCAGGCTCTGGAGCATCGCCATGGCACGGGGACGCCGACGGCAGTTCCTGCCCGTCTGGAGCAGGGCTCGGAGGCGGCACCCCGTTTCGGACGAAGCGCAGTGCTCTCCACGTGTTTCTTGACGACGCGAGGCGGGTCAGTGCCTCTGGTGCGCCTGGCGGCGACGCAGCTGCCAGGGTTTCCCGAGAGCACCTGCCCGGAGGGCTCTGGACGGCCGATGCCCTGCACCTCTTCAGTCCTCGTCAACTCCACGGGGGGGAGCTCCGACTGCTTCGGGTGGCCCTGGAGTGGCCCTGGCTTGTGGGAGGCAGGATGTTTCGGGATGTTTTTTGTTTGTTTGTTTGTTTTGTTTTGTTCCCCCCCCGTTCGTTTTTGTTGTACCCCTCTTCATGGTTCGGGGGTCTGAGGACATCTTCGGGCCATCTCGTGGCCGCGGTCGGGTCGGACTCGAAAAATCGCTGCGGAGGGACCTTGGGTACGGAAGGAATGAAGAATCAGCGGGTGTTTGGCTATCTTCCAGATCTAAGAAAGCGCTCAAGCGTCTAAGGGGCTTAATCATCCGCTAAACCATGGCCGTTCTGGCTCAAGCGTTCGGTCGCGCTGTTTTTTATACTGAACGAGTAGCTGCCCGAATTTCAGTTGCAGCGACGATGCCTTCGGTGCTCACCTGTTGCGTTGCGGTTGTGCTGCTTGCCCAGTCGGAAGCCCGAGACTGCTCGAACGGCGCCTGCGCCGCAGACGACGATGCTGCTGCTATGCTGCAGACAAGGTCACCCCTGCTACGGAACAGTGTCAGTGTCTGCGAGGAGGGCGACCACGTGCCCTGTCCCGGCTCTGGCAACATGTGCGCCGGAAACCAGTGCTGCCCTCGCACCGCGGAGTCGGGCGGCAAGACGTTCCCGTGCCCGTCGGCCGCAGACAGCTTCGCCGGCTGTGAGAACAATACGAAGCTGAGCACATGCCCTCCGGGTGGAGGGACGGCGACCACGCTGGCGATTGGCGAGGAGGAGGGCCCTCCGGGCGGAGGGACGCCGACCACTCTGATGGTTGGCGAGGAGGAGAGCCCTCCGGGCGAAGGGACGGCGACCACTCTGATGGTTGGTGAGGAAGAGGGCCCTCCGCCGGCAGGCTGCAAGGAGGGCGACCACGTGCCCTGTCCCGGCTCTGGCAACATGTGCGCCGGAAGCCAGTGCTGCCCTGGCACCGCGGAGTCGGGCGGCAAGACGTTCCCGTGCCCGTCGGCCGCAGACAGCTTCGCCGGCTGTGAGAACAATACGAAGCTGGGCACATGCCCTCCGGGCGGAGGGACGGCGACCACGCTGGCGGTTGGCGAGGAGGAGGGCCCTCCGGGCGGAGGGACGCCGACCACTCTGATGGTTGGCGAGGAGGAGAGCCCTCCGGGCGAAGGGACGGCGACCACTCTGATGGTTGGTGAGGAGGAGGGCCCTCCGCCGGCAGGGTGCAAGGAGGGCGACCACGTGCCTTGTCCTGGCTCTGGCAACATGTGCGCCGGAAACCAGTGCTGCCCTCGCACCGCGGAGTCGGGCGGCAAGACGTTCCCGTGCCCGTCGGCCGCAGACAGCTTCGCCGGCTGTGAGAACAATACGAAGCTGGGCACCTGCCCTCCGGGCGGAGGGACGGCGACCACGCTGGCGGTTGGCGAGGAGGAGGGCCCTCCGGGCGGAGGGACGCCGACCACTCTGATGGTTGGCGAGGAGGAGAGCCCTCCGGGCGAAGGGACGGCGACCACTCTGATGGTTGGCGAGGAGGAGGGACCTACGGCGACCACTCTGATGGTTGGCGAGGAGGAGAGCCCTCCGGGCGGAGGGACGGCGACCACTTTGATGGTTGGCGAGGAGGATGGCCCGACGGCGACCACTCTGGCGGTTGGCGAGGAGGAGGGCCCTACGGCGACCACTCTGATGGTTGGTGAGGAGGAGGGCCCTACGGCGACCACTCTGATGGTTGGCGAGGAGGAGAGCCCTCCGGGCGGAGGGATGGCGACCACTCTGGCGGTTGGTGAGGAGGAGGGCCCTCCGCCGGCAGGCTGCAAGGAGGGCGACCACGTGCCCTGTCCTGGCTCTGGCAACATGTGCGCCGGAAACCAGTGCTGCCCTCGCACCGCGGAGTCGGGCGGCAAGACGTTCCCGTGCCCGTCGGCCGCAGACAGCTTCGCCGGCTGTGAGAACAATACGAAGCTGGGCACCTGCCTTCCCGGCGGAGTGACGGCGACCTCTCTGATGGTTGGCGCGGAGCAGGGCTCTCCGGGCGGAGGGACGCCGACCACTCGGATGGTTGGCGAGGAGGAAGGCCCTACGGCGACCACTCTGATGGTTGGTGAGGAGGAGAGCCCTACGGCGACCACTCTGATGGTTGGCGAGGAGGAGAGCCCTATGGCGACCACTCTGATGGTTGGTGAGGAGGAGAGCCCTCCGGGCGGAGGGACGGCGACCACTTTGATGGTTGGCGAGGAGGAGGGCCCGACGGCGACCACTCTGGCGGTTGGCGAGGAGGAGGGCCCTACGGCGACCACTCTGATGGTTGGTGAGGAGGAGGGCCCTACGGCGACCACTCTGATGGTTGGCGAGGAGGAGAGCCCTCCGGGCGGAGGGATGGCGACCACTCTGGCGGTTGGTGAGGAGGAGGGCCCTCCGCCGGCAGGCTGCAAGGAGGGCGACAACGTGCCCTGTCCCGGCTCTGGCAACATGTGCGCCGGAAACCAGTGCTGCCCTGGCACCGCGGAGTCGGGCGGCAAGACGTTCCCGTGCCCGTCGGCCGCAGACAGCTTCGCCGACTGTGAGAACAATACGAAGCTGGGCACCTGCCCTCCCGGCGGAGGGACGGCGACCACTCTGATGGTTGGCGAGGAGGTCTATCTAGCGGCCTGCGGCAAGTCCCGCCACTGTGTCAGCGCAGCATTCCGGGTTGCGACAATTCGAAGGGGCGCGGGAGGCCGTCACGTGTGTTTTGTCGTGTCCCCACGCTTTGGGTAGCCGTGATGATGACGATGCTGATGATGATGATGAGGATGATGATGCTGCTGCTACTGATGATGATGATGATGAGGATGATGATGATGCTGATGATGATGATGATGATGACGATGATGATGATGAGGATGAGGATGAGGATGCTGAAGATGAGGATGACGACGATTCCGATTATGATGATGATGATGATGCTGATGCTGATGATGATCATGATGCTGATGGTGAAGAATTTGATGGTTAACATTAATAGTATTGTAATGCTGATGCTGGTGGTGATGACGATGGTGATAACGCGGATGATACTGACCATGCTGATGATGCTGATGCTGGTGGATCATGATGGTGATGATAGTGATGTATGATGATGACGGTGATAATGATGATTATGATGCTGATGCTGTTAATCATGATGATGATGTTTATGTTGTGGATGATGATGATGATGGTGATGATGATGATGATGATGATCATGATGATGATGATGATGATGATGGTTAAGAATGTTATGATGAATATGATGAATATGATGATGCTGATGATGATGCTGGTGGTGCTGATGAGGATAACGACGCTGATGATACTGATCATGCTGATGATGCTGATAGTAGTGGGTGATAATGGTGATGGTGATGGTGATGACGATGATGATGGTGGTGATGATGACGCTGATGATGATGATAAAGATCCCGATAATGATGACGATGATGATGATGATGATGATGATGACGTGGATGATGCTAATGCTGATGATGATGGTGAAGATGACGGCGATGCTGCTGCTGATGATGCCGATGATGACGATTATGATGATGATGATGGATTGATGATGATGATGATGACGACGACGATGACGATGATGATGATGATGATGATGATGATGTTGACGCTGATGCTGATGATGATGATGATGATGATAATGGTGATGATGATGATGATGCTGATGATGATGCTGCTGCTGCTGATGCTGCTGCTGCTGATGATGATGATGATGCTGCTGCTGCTGATGATGATGATGATGGAGAAGAAGATGAAGCCGATTCTGATTATGATGACGCTGATGCTTCATGATGATCCTGGGCACGATAGTCATGCTTCGACTTCTGCTGCTGATGATGGTGATGTCGCCGATTGTGGTGGTGGTGGTTGTGATGCTCCTGCTGCTAATGATGATAATCATGATGATGCATGTGATGATTGTGATGCCTGTGATGACACTTACGAAGATGGTGTGTGATGATGATGATGCAGGTGATCATGATGATCATGATGATGCTGATGATGCTGCTGCTGCTGATGATGATGATGCTGATGATGGTGGTGGTGCTGATGACGAAGATGCTTAGCATGATGATGGTGATGATGATGATGCTGATGATGATGATGGTGTTGATGATGAAGATGCTTGTGATGGTAGTGATGCTGATGCAGGTGGTGATGATGGTGATGATGATGATGCTGATGATGATGATTATGCTGTTGCTGATGCTGACCATGAGGCTGATGATACTGATACTAATGATGCTGATGGTGGTGTTGATGGTGATGCTGATGATGCTGATGATGATGCTGCTGCTTGTGATGATGCTGATGATGCAGCAGGTGATGATGATGATGATGATGATGATGATGGCGAGAATGATGATGATGATGCTAATGCTGATGCTGATGATGAGGCTGAAGATAGTGATACAAATGATGATGATGATTATGATGATGATGATGATGGTCATGATTTTGATGATGATGATGATGATGATGATGCTGAAGAAGATGATGATGATGTTTACCATGGTGGTGGTGATCATGTTGATAGCGATGATGATGCTGATGATGATGATGATAATGATGGTGATGCTGCTGATGATGATGCTGATGATGATGATGATGCTGATGATGATGATGCTGATGATGATAACGATGATGCTGATGATGCTGCTGCTTATGATAATGATGATGATGGTGGTGGTGGTGATGATGATTATGACGATGATCATGATCATGAGCATGATGATGATGATGATGAGGATGATGACGAGGATGAGGATGATGATGGTGGTGTTGGTGGTGATACTGATGATGATGATGATGTTGATGATGATGATGATGGTGATGCTGATAATGCTGATGCTGATGCTGATGATGAGGATGATGATGGTGCTGCTGATGATGATGATGATGATGATGATGATGATGATGATGATGATACTGCTGCTGATCATGATGATGCTGACGACGATGATGATGAGGATGATGATGATGCTGCTGATGATGATGCTGACCATGATGATGATGACGAGGATGATGAGGGTGATGGCGATGATGCTGATGAATATTATGATGATTGTGGTGGTGGTGATGATGATGATGATGCTGATGAGTGTGATGATGCTGCTGCTGCTGATCATGGTGATGATGATGATGATGATGATGATGATGATGCTGATGCTGATGCTGATGCTGATGATGATGCTGATGATGATGATGATGATGATGATGCTGATGCTGATGCTGATGCTGATGATGATGATGATGATGATGATGATGATGATGATGAGGATGAGGATGATGATGATGATGATGATGATGATGATGATGATGATGATGATGATGATGATGATGATGATGATGATGATGGAGGAGGAGGAGGAGCAGGAGGAGGAGCAGGAGGAGAAAGGAGGATTTGGAAGAGGAGGATGAAGATGAAGATGAGGATGGGGATCATCAGGATGATGTGAAGGAAGAGGAGAAGGAGGAGCAGGAGTTGGAGCAGGAGGAGGAGGAGGAGGAGGACGAGGAGTAGGAGGAGGAGGAGGAGGAGGAGGAGGAGGAGGAGGAGGAGGAGGAGGAGGAGATGGAGGAGCAGGAGGAGGAGGAAGGCCGTCACATGTGACCATTTTTGTCTTCACTCGTTGAGGAGCCCTCGTCAAACTTGCTTGGGCCCTCTTGCTTGGGCCCTCTTGTGGCTGTCTTGGCCTCCCGTGAGGCGGTCTTTCGGGGCCCTTGGGGGCCCTCTTGGGTCGTTTTGGGGTTCTACGATCTGAGGCCGTCTTGGGGTTCGTTTGGGCCGTCTTGAAAGCATCTGGGCCTCGGGAGCGCGCACCTGCCGCATTTTACGGACGATTGTGATCTCGGGAGCGCGAGTTCTGCGTATTTTGCAAGGGAGTGTGGCCTCGGGAGAGGGGATGATGCATGCAGGCCAGCGCTGGTAGAGGGGGGAGGGGTGCCTTGGAAGATTGTAGGCAACCCTGCCAGACAGCACTTGTACGCCAGAAGAAGACGTTGTCGACTGCTCCGACAGTGGCGCGCAGGCTTCCTGGCGCCAACATCGCAGAGCGGATTTCGTTCGGAAACCGATGGGAGGGGCCCCCGTGAGATGCACTTCGTTTTTTTCGCTCGCCGTCTCGGGGCCTTGCATTGCCAGAAACCCCTGCAGAAATCCTCTGCAGCACGCCTGCAGGGTCGGTGCAGTGGTGAGCTGCCCGCGCGAGGCCCCGCGCGGGCACCCCCGTCTGCCATGTGGCGTGCTGCGCGGGCGGCCCGCGCAAGCCGCGGCGCCGGGCCGACGCGGCGTCTCGCCGCGCAAGACCCGCTCCCCTCTCGTGCCGCCCACCCGGACCCTCTGGTTAGTATCGTTCAACCGATCCCCATCCCCATGCTCATCCCCTTCGAGACCCCCACCAAATTACACCCCCAGCTGCGGGCTACACATCTCGAAGCCCGAAGGGTACGGCCTATATCCCCATCTAGGGGGGCAAATCGGCCAGTGGGGCCCAGCCCACGCTGGTGGGGAAGAGGATCGGGTAAACGATACTCATCCGGCACGCCCCAGCGTGCCAGGGGGGCCAACATCGCCGAGCCCCACTGGGAGCTCCACCGACAGCGGAGCCTACAGCGCCTGTGGAGTTCCGCCGAAGACGCCAGCGGCTTCGTTCGCATGGCGCCACCGCACCCCATGTCGGCACACCCCTCACACGTTTCGTGGCCCCATGAAGAGCTCCACCCAGCGGGCAATGCGGCTGTGTTCGCATGTCGCCACCGCGCCAATTTCGGCACACCCCTCAAGACGTTTCGTGGCCCCATGGGGAGCTTCACCGAAGGCCCTGGCGGCTGCGCTCGCATGGCCCCGTCGCACCCGTTTCGGCGCACCCCTTGCACGTCTCTTGGCCCCATAGGGAGCTCCACCGACAGCGGAACTCACAACGCCTGATTCAAAACTGCATGGCGTTGGGTCTTCCTTTCGCCAGGATAATTCCTGACGGGGCCGAAGAGAGCTATGAGACTGTTTCGGGGCTTTGCATTGACAGATATCCACGCGAAAGTCCGCTGCAGCACGTCTGCAAGGTCGGTGCAGTGCAACGTGCCAGGGGGCACGGTGGCGGATTCTGCGTTGGGCCAGGCCTCCGAGGCGATTGCTCGTCGCGGCGTGCCCGCGGGCGCTGCTGGCCCGCCGCAGCGGCTGCCGCCAGCGAGTGCGAGCGCGGCGGGGGGGCAGTGCACCGTCTTGGTTGCCGGCGGCGAGGCCGACTACAACCTGCAGTCGCTGTTGCAGCGCCTCGAGGGCTCCGAGGGCAGGTGTCAGGCGAGCGACGTGCAAAAGCTTCGGGTGCAACTCCTTGGAGGTCAAATTCTGACTTTGCCCTGTCGATCCGGCCCACTCTGGCTTAATCCCGCTTAATCTCGCTCAATCCGCGGCCTCCTTTGGCGTGGTAGTCCGCCAACGGGGCTTACTTCTCCCTGATCCTTCAGACGAAGACCTCCCAGGATTTCCCTCCTAAGAAAGCAGGGTCATCTTCAACGACATTGGCGCGTACGTTGCCCGCATGAGGTCGCGCTTGAGCGCCCTGCTTTCCGATGTGGCGCGCCGTGCTGGCGGGCCGCGAAAGCCGCCGGGTAAAGTCGCTGTGGCGTCTCGCGTAAGACCCGTTTCTTGTCGTCGCTCAGGTGGTGTGTCTGCTCGTCAGCGGGGCGAAGGTCGAAACGCAAAAACGGCATAAACATAACACTTGGAGGTCCGCACGGATGTCTTCGGTTGGCGCTGGATCCCCCTCCTTTGGTGCGCTTCGCGCGCCAAGGGCTGTCCAGCGCCGACCCAAGAGGCCCGCTCGGACCTCCGAATGCTGATGGTTATGTTTTTTTTGTCTTTCTAGAAGGGCAGTCCGCAGGTGGCGTGGGATCTGGAGACCGACAGCCTCACGGTCGATGGAACTCCAGTGAAGCCCACTGCAATGTTCCTGCGGTACGACGTCTTTGGCACCGACGTTTCCCCGCTGACTAGGCAGGCGTTCTGGGAGCTCTTCGACGGCTACGCGCGGTCTCACTCGCAGCAAGTGCGCCTCCTGAATGTGGGCTATGGCGGAAAGACCAACAAGCTGATGACTTTGATGATGGCCAAGTCTCTTGGGCTCGAGACGCCCCAGACCCTGGCCACCAACAGTCCGGTGATGGCCACGGACTACCTGGGACAGCACGCTTCCAAGATAACCAAGCCGCTGGGTGGTGGTGCAACGACCAAGAGGCTCCACGAGGTGTTAGACAGGAGCCAGAAGGGGATGCCCGCGGCGTTTGTCCAGGAAGAGCTGATCTCACCGGAGATGCGCGTCTTCGGTGTCGACGGCGCCTTCCTGTGCTTGGGGCTTCACAGCCCCTCCATCGATTACAGGGAGCACCAGGACGCGAAGCTGAGCCTGAAGTCATCATGCCCCGCGGAGCTAGTCCCTAAGCTGCACAGCATCATGAACCGCATGGGACTTCGGTATGGCGCTGCAGACTTCAAGACGCGAGCATCTGATGGCGCCTGGGTCTTCCTGGAGATGAACTCCGAGCCTATGTTCTCCGCGTTCGACAAAGCGTCTGGCGGCCTGCTGCGGGACATGATCGGCTCGTGGCTGGAGGGCAACTTCTCCCCATACCACGGCTGCACGGACGCGAAGTCGCCCGTCATGTGCGTGAAGGGTTCCGAGAAGTGAGCCCTTCCTGCAAGGAAAGATCTTTGACTCGACGCATGGCAACGCCCTACAACAGATAGGGCGTAGTCAGAGCTGGATCTGACTCTTTCCTAATGGTAAGTTATAGCATTCGGCATGGATGAGGAAACAGAGGGTTTGGCGTAGCTGCGTTGGTAGTAACCTCGTGGTTTAGATGCATCGCGCGGCGTGCGCGGCAACAGCTGCGCGCAGCGCGCGTTCTCAGAGCAGGCGCAGGTACATCTAGCTTTCGCTCGGGCTCATGTCTATGCCTCTAGTTGTTGACGCTTCGCGTATCCCTGAACAAGCCCATTCAAACACGATGCCCAGGCGAGCTGCCTTTTCCAGGGAAGTCTCGAAACAAATCAGTGGACCTAAGAGCCGTATGTTTTCCAAAACGCTTGTGTCGCGAAGTGTCCAGCGAAAGTGCGGCCGCGCCAGTGCACTGCATGGTACCCCAGTCGGTAGGGAAACGACAGGGGGAACATTATTGGGGGAAGGGAACTATGCACATGCGCCGACCTTGGCCAGGTCCATCCTGAGCCCAGGATCGGTGCATACGTGCACAGATCTTTTTCCTTTGCATTAGGGAGAGGCCCCCTGCCCTGGGGCCATCTTGGGGCTGTCTTGGGGCTATGTTCGGGCATCTCTGCCGTTCTTAGGGAGGAGGAGGAGGAGGAGGAGGAGGAGGAGGAGGAGGAGGAGGAGGAGGAGGAGGAGGAGGAGGAGGAGGAGGAGGACTGTGCCACTAGGGCCCACTCGGGCCGTCTTAGGGCTTTCTTGGGCGGTCTGGGGGTTCTCTTGGGCCGTCTGGCTCCCTCGGAGGCCTGCCTTCGGGGGCCTCTCTGGGCCGCCTCTTGGGGCCCTTTTGGGGCCCTTTAGGGCTCTCTTGGGGCTCTCATCTTAGGACCATCCTGGAGCCCTCTTTGCGCCCTCTTCGGTCTCTCTTGTGACTCTTGCGTCCCTCCTGGGTAGCCAGGGGGCGATCTTGGGGGGGGGGCTCCTTGGGCCATCTTGGGCCGTCGGACGCCCGAGAAGACGATGACTCGAAGGCACACTGAAGCCATTCAGGGAAGTCAATGAATGTCGCCTCTTGGGGTCCTCCCTCCCAGGGGCCCTCGTGGAGCCCTCTTGGGGATTCTTGGGCGTATTGGAGGCGTCTTGGGCCGTCACAGGGGGCTTCTTTGGCCTTCTTGTAGCCGTCTTGGAGACCGCCAGGGCCACCCTGGGTCGACTTGTCGTGGCGACAAGGGCCCTCTAGGAGCCATCTTGCGTGGAACAGCCGTTGGGAGTCCTCCTTCACGGTGAACCAGCGGGTTGCGCCGAAGACCATGTTTTTTTCCCATCCTGTGTTGAGGTTTTTTTTTTGAAGAGACAGCGCCCCGCGTTCCTCACCCCCCGCCATTCCTTCCCGCTGCCCTCCCCCTCCTTCCATCACGCATCCTCATCGTCATCGTTATCATCATCGTCATCATCCTCGTCACCAGGCCGCCACGCCGATTTTTGCACACCCCTCACACGTTGCGCGGCCCCATAGGAAGCTCCACCGAAGACCCTCGAGACACAGTCCGCATGGCAGCGCCGCATCCATTTTGGCACGCCCCTCACGTTTTGTGGCTCCATAGGGAGCTCCACCGAGGGCCGTAGCGGCCCAGTCCGAATGGCGGCGCCGCGCCCACTTCGGCACACCCATGACACATTTGGTGACTCCGTAGGGAGGTCCACCGAAGGCATTCGTGGCACAGTCCGTATGTCAGCGCCGCGCTCATTTCGGAACACCCCTCGCACATTTCGTGGCTCCACAGTTAGCTCCACCTAAGGCCCTAGTGGCACAGTTCTCATGGCGGCTCCGCATCCATGTCGGCACACCCTCACACGTGTTGTGGCCCAATAGGGAGCGCCACCGGAGGCCCCAGTGGCACAGTGCGGCTTCTGTAGTAGCGCCAGCATCACACCGCCGAGCACGTTTCGGCACACCATTCACGCGCTTCGTGGCCACATAGGGGCTTCGGCACACCCCCCACACGTTTCGTGGCCCCATGGGGAGCTCCGCCAAAGGCCCCAGCGGCTGCGTTCGCATGGCGCCACAGCGCCCATGTCGGCACACCCCTCGCATGCTTCGTGGCCCCATGGGAAGCTCCACCGAGGGCCCTTGTGGCTGCGTGCTCATGGCACCACCGTGCCCATTTCGGCGCACATCTCACACGGTTCGTGGACCCATAGGGAGCTCCACCGATGGCCCCAGGGGCTGCGCTCGCATGGCGCCACCGCACCCGACCCACTTCGGCACCCCTCACACGTTTCGTGGCCACATCTGGAACTCCACCGAAGGCATCCGTAGCTGCGTTCGCATGGCACCACCGCGCTCATGTGGGCACACCCCTCACGCGGTTGGTGCCCCCATTAGGGAGCTTTACCGAAGGCCCCAGTGGCTGCGTTCGCATGGCACCACCGCACCCAGTTCGGCACACCCATCACATGTTTTGTGGCCCCATTGGGAGCTCCACCGCAGCACCGAGGTCGGCACATCCCTCACCTTTCGTGGTCTCATGGGGAACTCCACCGATGGCACCAGTAGCTGCGTTCGCATGGCACCACAACGCCCATGTGGGCACACCCCTCACACGGTTGGTGCCCCCATAGGGAGATCCACCGAAAGCCCCAGTGGTTGCGTTCGCTTGGCCCCTCACACAGCTCGTGGCCCCATAGGGACCCCAACCGAAGGCCCCAGTGGCTGCGCTCGCATGGCGCCGGCGCACTCGCTTTGGCACACCCCTCACACGTTTCGTGGCCCCATAAAGAGCTCCACCCATCGGACAAGGCGGCTGTGTTCGCATGTCGCCACCGCATCAATTTCGGTACACCCCTCAGACGTTTCGTGGCCCCATGGGGAGCTCCACCGAAGGCCCTGGCGGCTGCGCTCGCATGGCCTCGCCGCATCCGTTTCGGCGCACCCCTTGCACATCTTTTGGCCCCATTGGGAACTCCACCGACAGCGGAACCCACAACGCCTTATTTAAAACTGCATGTGGTTGGGTCTCTCTTTCGCCAAGATAGTTCTTGGCGGGGCCGAGGAGAGCTATGAAACTTGGCTCGCGAGCGACCCCTGTGATAGTTCAGCAGGGGGCGGCGGTTGTAGTGGCTTTTGGCCCATCCCGCCACCGCGTCATGGCGCCAACATCGCAGAGCGGATTTCGTTCGGAAAACGATGGGATGGGCCTGGATCGTCCTGGAGAAGTTCGTTCTGGATTTCGAAGTGAAGTTCGTGCGGATTTTTTGGACCAGGAATGAAGACTACAAAACATCCACGTGACATTCATTTTGTTTTTCGCTTGCCGTTTTGGGGTTTCGCATTGACCGAAGTCCACGCAAAAATCCGCTGCAGCACGTCTGCAAGGTCGGTGCAATGAACCGTGCCTGGGTCGTGGACATGAGGCCTCTGTGGTGCCTCTTTGATGCGTTGCCTCTTCGGGGCCCCCTGAGGGCCACTTGGGGGCCTCATGGGGCATCTTGGGGGTCTATTCGGAGCCTCTGGGAGACTCTTCGGGGGTCTCTTAGGGGCCTGCTGGCGTCTCGGGGCCCTCTTGGGGTGGAGGTCTCCGAGGGGCAGTTCGAGTTCCCCTTCTTGGGCTCCCATTGAGAGGTTTTTGGGAGCCTTGCGGTGTCCTCTTGGCGGCCTTGGGTGCCCTTTTGGGGGGGTCTCGGGGGCTTTTTGGTTTGCTTTGGATTCTTTCCGAACCCCAAACTATGAGCATGCGTACATCATGCAAGCACCTTCCCCGACCATTGCTTGCACTTACGGTGTCTGATCTGCTACCTGCAGCAGTTGGTTGACGTTCTCGCCTGGTCACCGCCGGTGGGCGCCTGTTGCGCGATCTGGCGCTGGGTGGCAGTTTGGGCTTTCGCCCATTCGCCGAGGAGGAGGAGGAGGAGGAGGAGGAAGAGGAAGAAGAGGAGGAGGATGATGAGGAGGAGGAGGAGGAGGGAGGAGGAGGAGGAGGAGGAGGAGGAGGAGGAGGAGGAGGGAGGAGGAGGAGTCGGGAGGGAGGGAGGGAGGGAGGGAGGGAGGAGGAGGAGGATGCTGCTGCTGCTGCTGATGATGATGATGCTGATGCTGCTGCTGCTGCTGATGATGATGATGCTGATGCTGATGCTGATGCTCATGATGACTATGATGATGCTGATGATGCTGACGACGATGATGATGTTGCAGCTGATGATGATGATGTTGTTGATGATGATGCTGATGATGATGTTGGTGATGAGGTTGGTTGATGATGATGATGATGATGAGGATGATGAGGATGAGGATGATGATGATGATGATGATGAGGATGAGGATGAGGATGAGGATGAGGATGAGGATGAGGATGAGGAGGATGAGGATGGGATGAGGATGAGGATGAGGATGAGGATGAGGATGAGGATGAGGATGATGATGAGGATGAGGATGAGGATGAGGATGACGATGACGATGATGATGATGATGATGTGATGATGATGATGATGATGATGATGATGATGGATGATGATGATGATGATGATGATGATGATGATTGATGATGATGATGATGATGATGATGATGATGATGTGATGATGATGGATGATGATGATGATGATGATGATGATGATGATGATGATGATGATGATGATGATGATGATGATGATGATGATGCTGATGATGCTGCTGCTGCTGATGATGATGATGATTATGATGATGATGATGATGGTGGTGGTGGTGGTGGTGGTGGTGGTTGGTGGTGTGGTGGTGGTGATGATGATGATGATGATGATGATGATGAGGAGGAGGAGGAGGAGGAGGAGGAGGAGGAGGAGGAGGAGGAGGAGGAGGAGGAGGAGGAGGAGGAGGAGGAGGAGGAGGGAGGAGGAGGAGGAGGAGGAGGAGGAGGAGGAGGAGGAGGAGGAGGAGGAGGGAGGAGGAGGAGGAGGAGGAGGAGGAGGAGCCCAAACGGGACCAACACAACCCCGAAAGACCGCAAGA